CATTTTAATTAGATCTGAACATTTTCTTCACTGGTCTGAACAGGTTGTTTTAGCAAGTTTCTACCAAAATAGTATTGTTCTATTGTGACTGATATCCCACAATGCATTGCAATTTGCCAGGTAAATGTAAAATTTTAATTTGGCATGAACTGCCTCAAAGTGGGGTCGTCATCTGCGCATATGGCAGGCGGCCTACCGCGTGTCATTGTTTACAAACACGCGTCTACCCATGAGTCTATGCGTTTTTAGCATGCGTTGTTAACGTTGCTCGCGCGTGCGCAGGTGATAGCCCTTTCGCTTTAAACTATATCTTGATACATATTTCGAATATATATTCATATAAAATGTTGAATGTCTATGCTGATGCTTTGGCAGTTAAGATGCGATAATCGACGAATCACAGTACGTCCACGGTTTAATATAAATAACATTACATTTGATATCCTTATCAGTTCAATACTGAAATCAACATCAACAAATAACGACGAAAGTGATTATCTAAAAATAACACGTGTGTGGGGTGAAGGGGGTACCTGTGACGATAAGATAAGACTGAAAACAGTACCGGAACTCGTCTGTTATATATTACCAATGGTCACTATATGGTCTATTTGTCATGTGACTACTTCATTTCACCGTGTTATCTTGCTAAATGGACAACAGGAAGTGACTTATCAAACTCTTACAGACCGGAAATAATAAGTTAACCATTGACTTTCGACAAGTTAAGAAATTAAATATTGGATCTGCATTTACCAATTTCCTCAGCTCTATATTCACACTCAGCACACAATGGGAGTCTTTGCAGTTTCCCTGTCTGTATGTGTGTATGTGTGTGTGTGTGTGTGTGTCCGTCTGTTCACACTGATATCTCAAGAACCATACATCGGTTTTTGTTGAAACTTGGTGCATAGATGCTCTGGGCCAATGCGCAGATTTGACTAGGTTTTGGTAGAAACCCATGCATATTAAAAACCTAATTTGCATGATAATTAGCTCATTTTTAGCTGTTCCATGACCGCTCCACTGATATCTAAAGAACCAGTCATTGAATTTTGATGAAACTCTTGGTACATAGATGCTCTGAACTTATTCACAAATTTAATTAGTTTCTAGTAAAAATCAGTGCATATTAATTACCTAATTTGCATGATAATTAGCTGATTTTTAGCTGTTCCATGACTTTTCCACTGATATCTAAAGAACCACTCATTGGATTTTGATGAAACTTGGTTCATAGATGCTCTGAACTAATGCCAGGTTTTGATTAGTTTTGGGTGAAAATCTGTGCATATTAATTACCTAATTTGCATAATGATTAGTAAATTTTCGGCTTTTCCACTGATATCTTAACTACTAATCATCACATTTCAATGAAACTTGGTACCTAGATGTCATGTGACACTGCACAGACCTAGTAGTTTTTAGGGTAATATCAGTACATATTAATTACCTAACTTGTATAATAAATTAGTTTCCAGCTTTTGATATTTCAAGTACTAATCATCACATTTTAATGAAACTTTGTACATAGATGCTCTAGAACAATGTACAAATATGATCAGTTTTGGGTTAAAATCTGTCCATGTAAATTTCCTAATTAGCATAATAATTCATAATTGTTTGGTTCAATGAAACTTAGTACATAGTTGGTATGTTACATTGCGCAGACCTTATTAGTTTTACACTCTGTTCATTTTAATTTTTCCGATTTGCATAAGTGGTTTTCAGCTTTTCCATCAATATCTCAAGTACAAGTAATTTTGAATTAATTTTTACTGTGTCTCTAATACTCTCATCACACGGGAGTTCTTTCTAAGCCTTCTTTGATTATAATTTCACTTCCGGGTTGAACACTCCGCCGTGACATCGTAGCATTGTATATACTCTCTTGACATATAATGGTAGTCATGACAATAAAGAGGATATGATCCCGATTTGGGCATCGTCCGAATCGCACGGTCCAGCGTCCTCAACCTATAGGGTTCTACACGATAGAGGCTTGGCCGAATAAACTTAGACCTTGGCTAGCGAAGATGAATTTGGGCAAATTTGTTTTTTCTTTGTTAATGATGTATTGATGAGATAGACAGGATAGAGCAACGCCCCCAGAATAAAATAGTATGCATTGTAAAGAATGTCAGTAGACCGTGTTTAGTAACCCACTTACATCGACACCTTGTCTGGCCGAGTTAACAATACAGTAAAAGCAGTCAGCTTATATACTGAAGTAGGACCCGTCGAGACAGTCTGTTGTATTAGCCCCTCCCATGAAGGGTTCATATACTCGTCCGTCACTGTTTTTATCACATCAAGCTCCTACCACGCTATTACGATGATACTTTTATTTTAACTATGTAAAATACACTGTATGACGTCACAGACTCGATAACATACAATACATGCTACAATTTGGAGTTTAATTGCCATAGAAACCTGTCATCCCGTGTTCATATAGAGGGCGGTATTAAGTTTTAAAGGGGGAAGTCAGCGCTATATTGGTGTAATCTCGTTCGTAGGTGATTGTACCCGCTGTATGTTAATGAAGGACGCAATAAGAAGTGGATAAACTATTTAATACTTGAAGTATGTACACTTTATTACTCCCATGGTGCATCGCGTGAGGGTAATGAAGAATTAGATCCCTGCTTCGAGAGGATGATAATATTAATGCCCACACAGCTGATGTATCGGCAACGATAAGTGGTATGGACCACGGGAGTTACCGGCAATATTTAATATAGTTGCGATCAAAGACGCCTCCCCCGCTTCTTAAGTGTGTTTTCAGGGCGTTCAACACCTGCACGCACAGCACTGTACTGTGGACGTACTGTAGTTTGTCATTAGACAAACTCCCGATTAACTGAAATCAAGTATGAGTTTTATCTTATACATTAAAATCGAATTCTTCAAAATGCTGGAATTCAGAAAAAACGGCAATGTTCCTGCACAGTCTGACGAGCAGTGGGGATTTGACCTGACTTTGTAGGATTTGTTAGTCAAAATTTAATCCCCCAAATTGAGTTGAGTTGGGGGGGGGGGGGCTCCAAGAAAAACAAAATGTATGCGACTATATATGTGACAAAAAAGTTGTAGCTCCTAATTTCCTTCGTATTTACATTTATTTTGATTATAAAATGTGAATTTCATTTTATCAAATTACAAAACCTATAATATAGTAATATATATATATAATGTACGATTGTCTGTTGCATCACAGCAAATCTTTGAGCGTCAATGACACGTCATATCAGCTTAGATGAAACACTCACTGTGGACGAGTACCTCGAATAAAGTCCAACATACAAATACCGAAATCGTCATTGTGAAATATTAACAGGTATGCATTATGTCTTTGTAAGACGACGACGCTATCGTAGAAGTTCAACGACTTTGTCTTTATGATCGATTTTCAACGAGTGTCGCTAGATTAGCCTTAATATAACTTATGTTGTTGGCGTGAGGTGTTAATAACTTGTTTATATCGCTCATGTCGCTAGTATATTATCCGCCTCCCGGCCATGACACTGACAAGTACACGTACACTTGTGTTTAACGAGTAGATTCAGGTGAACCGTATTTCACATACAGTCAAATCTATCCATAACAAATCGGTACACCTGAGATGTGTCCTTGAAAACATTTATGTCGCTAAATGCTACTGGTATCTATGACGACTATATGTCGCCTAGGAGACGTCAAAACAATTCTCTAGCCCGGGTCAACAGTCGAGAGTAGAGTGTTGAGCAATTACAGTGAAGTGTTGTCTGCCACAAACGCCGCAAAGCAACGAGTCAATAAAACAAGTACGTTAAGGCACTAGTTACTTTCCAAATGTAAGTTGCTGTTCATAAAAGACAATGCACTCAAACAGTAGATCATCTGTAGTAAATGTTAAGTTAAGTATATTTTGACATTATTTTAATCTACATTCAAGGCGACCCACATCATTAAACGGAGGTCACTGACACGTCGATAGTACCGTGTGTTGTCCGGATGGATATCGCCCCCTGTGTGCAAATGATCAACACCGACAGAATTATTGTCCAATTATTGTTTCCTGTTAAACAATAGTCTGTTGTTATGAGCAGTGTTATTAACACTGACCTGAACGAACCAAGTTCGTCACTGAAAGATAGGTTTCACCCGTTCGTTTGATATCTTGATTTTAATTTTTCTCAAAATTGAACGAACGTTAACAGATTTTTGTCAAACTGGATACACATATGATATATGATTGTATTTATACGTTCGACTATTAACCTCTAACTAACCCCTCTAATACCCATGTATTCACTTTGTAAATACCTCTGTATTCATTTCAATATATACCTCTGTATTCACCCTTGTAAAGCCCTCTGTATTCATTCCAATATATACCTCTGTATTCACTTTGTAAATACATCTGTATTCATTCCAATATATACATCTGTATTCACCCTTATAAATACTCTGTATTCATTCCAATATATACCTCTGTATTCACCCTTATAAATACCTCTGTATTCATTCCAATACATACCCTCTGTATTCACGCTTATAAATACCTATGTATTTATCCAAATACATACCTGTGTATTAACTCATATACAACCCTCTGTATTCATCCCAATATATACCTCTGTATTCACCCTTATAAATACCTCTGTATTCACGCTTATAAATACCTATGTATTTATCCAAATACATACCTGTGTATTAACTCATATACAACCCTCTGTATTCATTCCAATATATACCTCTGTATTCACCCTTATAAATACCTCTGTATTCATTCCAATACATACCTCTGTATTCACGCTTATAAATACATATGTATTTATCCAAATACATACCTGTGTATTAACTCATATAC